TTTTGGTAGTACAAGAAGAATTTTCTTTCTTTTATTGAGAACTTGAAAATTAGCATTTTCATAAATGTTTACAATGAGGTGTTCCTTCATATAATTATATTGAAATGTGAAAAACATGGCATTTACTATCAGCTCTTTTTCACATTTCTCATAAGATCAATCCGAGAATGATGATGGAATCAGTGTTTTATTTGTCTACTAAATTCTTCTTTTGAAAAAGTGCTGATATATACTTCATATACATGTATGATGAAACACCAAAAACTTCAGTTACTAGTCCAGGCAAAGAAAGGTTTCATCTTGCCTTCTTAAAGACCACCTTATGTGTACCGTGTTTAGCTGCTTTGTTTGTCAAATATTTCTCAATTTCATTTTATTCATAAGCTCCTGTTTTCTCACTGAAAGATGAAATAAAAAGACATTTCAGTGTAATTTTGAAATCTTCCTGGTATAGACACATACTTTGTATATTAATATGCTACCTGCTCTCAGAGAAGTCTTTCTGTGATAGATAGATATTTGCAAGTTTCATTATATTCCATATTTCATTTGATATTGCCTCATTTTTCTTTCTTTGTAGAATTTTATTTAAATTTGTTAAGGTTCAATACTATACTTTGATTTAAGCCTTACTTTTACTTGTCACAAGATGTAAAATTTGAAAGAATTGGTATTACTGAATAAATCCAACCTATCTTAATAGCTAATGTTTTTGGATATTCATTACACATCATAACTCTCTTCTGTCTCCCTCTCAACACATATCACACACACACACACACACACACACACACACACACACACACATTCTATAGCATATATGTTTACATCAAGTATATGTATATAATATTTTGATTTCCTATAAATCCCACTTCAATGGCAGAGAGCATTATATATTTTAGAAATGAAGTAATAGAAGAGCAGAGAGATTAAATAACTCAACATTGTAGTCAGGTCTGCAAGGATAAAATTTATAGGATTATTTTATAATATTCACCCAATAAAAAAGCAAATGCAGAAGAGTGCAAGAGATATATCCATGACTAGAACCCAAATGATCCAGCTGAGGGCTTGGATCCCACGGCAATGTCCTGCATGAGTTCAGCTGAACACCTAGAGCCCATGGCAATGTCCTCCACAAGTTGAGCTGGAGGCCTAAAAACTTTGACAGTGTCTCATCCAAGTCTGGGTCAACTATCTGTATTTGAAAAGCCCAAAGTCCAATGATAGTGGAAGCTAGAAAATCTGTGCCAGTGGGATGAAGGATTTGTGTCACCAGGCTTAAAGATCTGTACAGCAGCCAGGAAATGATGTTCAAGGACCAGGGCTCCTCTAAAGAAAACTGCAGCCATCCTCAGTGACAGTGAGGACCCAAACTTCTCCAAAGATGAGAACAGCTGAGTTCAGATTGAGCGAGCCAGCGTGACAAGCTTCTTGAGGAGAATGAACAGCACACCATCTTCCCCTCCTGTTCTCCTTTTATGCTGTTGGCAACAATCCTCAGATGGGCCTTTCACACTGATTTAGTTAATCTCAGTTTTGCAAACTTACCATTAGTTAATCCATCATATTCAATTTGAGAATGCTCTGGAAAAAATATATGGATGATTGTATAGAGAATTTGATAGCTAGATGAATAGATATGTAGATAAATGTATTTCAAGAAATTAATCAGTGTAATTGTGATGAAAATTGCATAAGAGCTGATAGGCTATAATCCTGGAAACTCTCGTGTACGAGTTAATGTTATATAGTCTTAAAACAGAATTTTTTTCTTTCTCAGAGAAACCTGAGTTTTGTTCTTAAAGCCCTTATTGTCCAAGATCCACTTACATCACTGAGATAATATTTGTTTAAAGTTAACTGATTATAGACTTTACCTATACCTGTTTTGGGGATAGAGATAGCTACATCTAATGAAAGGCGTCACAGCAATATTTACTTTAGTCCTACATTTGGTTGAATAACTAGATACTGTAGCTTATTCAAGTTAAAATATAAAATTAAGAAACACAGAAATTTATAAAAGATCACGGAGCTGGCAAATGGTAGAGGAAGGATTCACTGTAAAGATGCTGTCTGGTGATAAAACAAAACAAAACAAAATAAAACAAAAACAAAACCTACTCCAGATCACCTCACATTGTCACGTTTAGTTCTGCCAAAAAATGTGTGTGGAGACCATCCATGCAGTTCTTGAGGAGTCTGGGTAGGAATCTGGGGTGTGGCTAAGTAAGCCGCAGGGTAATCTAATCATAATGATCCTGTCCATCTACTGACCCCCTTATTCTGTTCTTAAATCAAGACTTATATGTCAGAACATTTATCCAGTTCCCCTTAAATATTTGAGGGAAAGGCTCTGACCCAGTAAACATAAACCCATTACAATGGCAAGTTAGAATGGAGTGAAAATATAAGTAACTTAATGGTCCTAGTCAGTGTCTTAATTCAAATGAAAAATAAACAAAGCAATTTAAATTTTACCCATGCATCTTTTTCTTGTGAAATAATCCTTACAGGAGAAAAAAATTTTGTGGATACAGTTCTTATGTTTAATAAGTGTATATTGTGTGCCATTAGATTATAAGTATTTTGGGAAAATTATAGAATATAATTAAGAGATTTAAAGCTCCCTTTTGCCATAACTATGACATATATTATAGAGCTTCACATTAGAAAGTTATCTGCAAAAAGATGGTACTGGAAGCCACAAATGCTGATGAGCTAACACAGCATGAGTATGTACAGTAAGCAAGTTAGGAATTGATAAATGAAGAATTTGTGCCTTATGCTTGTAAAATTTTTGTTCAAAACTTAAATTTTTGATCTGCTGAAACCTTTTTGTTTATCATGTCGCCTTGAGATTGTATGACACCTTGAAATGGTTTTCTTCTTTAGAGTTTTAATATGAATATGAAATGATATAGAATGTATGCCATTTGTAATGTACAGAACATTAGAGATGGGAAATTTTGACATTTATTTAAATCTCAGTGTGTGTTATGTGCATATTTTTGATTGATTGTACAATAATTTCCTGGTAACTTTCAAGAGAAATTTCATTGTCATCAGAGAATTTTCTGGTACATTTTCCACTAGTTCTATAAACTTCATCCACTCACACTACCTAAGAGAATCACATAAAACACTACACATGTATGTAATAATGTCAGTGTTCCTCTAATATCGAAGAAATATTCTCTTCTATCAGAAAATGAAATGTTATATTTAATTCATGTAAAAGGGAAGCTAAGGCAAAGACAAGTCAATTGACTTGCCAAAAATTTCCTATATAAAGTAATTTAAAAAACAAAACTCTTTTTAAAAAATCTATGAACAAATTTTTTGGTGAGAAGTTATGGAAGGTATGGGACAAGAAAGAAAAATATTTGGTTTAATTTGAAGAAGCAGAAATGGTTTTGTTTTGTTTTGTGGTAGTTACAAACTAGCAAGAAACTTCAACTTTCAGATGAAATATAGGACCTCCCTTATTCTGTGACAAAAGTCATCTTTGAGCCATGTTTAATACAGTATATGCTTACCAGTAACTACATTTACTTGTAATATAAGCTGAACTTCTTTAGAATGAGCCACTGGTAATCCAAGTTTTTGAAATTAAATAAAATTAAATTACATTTTTCCTTACATTTATAAAACTGAGATGAAATATCTCCATTTTCCTAGGATAAGGTTATTACTACAATATTATTGTCATTTATTCTTTGGAAATAATTTGACTCTGTTATTCAAATCTCTTTAAATATTTGATAGGTGTTTCTTGAAAAATTTGGGTTACAGAATGTTTAGAAAATAAGACAATAATAAAACATGAAACACACATAATCTCACCTCCAAAAATAATTATTATTCAGATTGTATATATTATGTTCAGCTTTTAAAAAATATTTGAGTAATAGCTTATATAGTTATCTTTCTCATTTCTTTACCATATTTTGACTATAATCTGCTATCATATTTTTCAATATCCATTTTAGTGGTAGGATTTTGTTTTGTTCTTTTTGCTTTTGAAAGTAAAATTCATTTATTCTTTCAGTTAAAATTCTGGTTTTTACTCATTCTCCCCTCTTCTTGAATAGATAACTGATATATGCAAAGATCTATGCAACAGATCTATGCAAAAGTTTGTACATTAAACCTGCATTGAAAAGTTTTTGTATTTCCCTAGGACAGATTAAAAACTGCTTTGGGAAATCTACCATCAATATGTATTTCTACTGAAAGAGTGTGAGAAATTCTGTTTTTAAGCTTGCTGTAGAGATTAATTTTCCTAAGCTTCATATTTTAACAGGAAAATTATATCTTTTTTTGAAATTTACACTTCACTAAATAATGTCAAATTATTATTGACCTATACACTGTATTTTATTTCTCCTGATTTCAGTATCCTTTTGTATTCAATAGAAAGTTAATAGGTTTATTATTCACATTGAGAAACTACTTTGTATAGTAAAAACATTTTATCAACATATCTTTCCGTTTAATCAGTTGCCCTTAAGAAATGTATAATATTTTGTAATATAGGAGTGGCTGAGTTTTGGGATAAAGTGCATTTTTTTCTTTGAGATTTTTTTTCTTCCAGTTGTTTTTAGAATGATCTTCCTTATTCAGGTATTAGATAAATCTATTCTATTTTTAGTATTTGTTTCAGATTTTTAAAAAATATCTAGCACTTTAATACTTCTCAAACATTTTCACTGATGACATGAGGAAATAATATAATTTGCATTTTCCTTTAACATTGTGGACTAAGTATATACACTATTTATGTATACTATATAGATACACACATATATATATATGGTAATGTTATATACTAGAATATATCAGAGGTGTACTGTAAGATCTGTTAGATTGTATTATATATATTTTATGTTGAATTGTTTACAGATAATTTTCTATTAGATCCATATCATTTCAAATATTGTAATATCTAGTGAGAAAAGCCATTATTAATGATATTTATAAACTTTATCAAATAGGTTTGCCAGAACCCAAAAGAGATCTTATCTTTCAAGGCCTAACACAAGACCAGGGGTTTTACACGTCCAAAGACTTTTTGCCACTGGTAGCAAAAGGCAGTAAACCAGGTAAAATATGTTGCTCTTTTTTCTTAACATTGTCTTAACATTGTTGTTAATTTGTATTACATTCAACTTAGAAAACATTGATCACATTTAGGATGGATACTTCAGTAGAGAAAATGAACACATTTTTTAAAGACTGATGTTACAATAAGTTGCCAGAATTATGTTCAGCCTCACCAGGAAACCATCGTGATAAGGAAATTTTAATTATATATATATATATGGATATAGATATAGATATAGATATAGATATATAGATATATATATAGATAGATAGATATTTATATCTATATTTATATATTTATATCTATATATATCTACATTTATATATTATATATAATAAAAAATAGCTTCAAATAAAATGACTAATGAACATTAGAAGATATTCTTGAATGAAATTGTTTGAGCTTCATTTTTAGGTATTGTCTATGCAGACACAAAGATCATTGTCTCTATTGGAGCAGTAATTTTATGAAGTTAAAGTAAAATGCTTTGAAAGATACTCTATGAATTCATGTGCTCAGAGATGATAAACTAAACCTGAGACTATGTCATATTTGCTTTGTCTAAAATCATTGTCTTAGTTATAAAGAGGTTGTAGTATTTTTTTTTCAAAACTGAATAATCGGGATCTTCTAAATGTATATTTTTGAAGAATTCTGATATGCAGCTGTTTCTACATTAAATTACGTGTGGAAATTATTAAAACTTAAAATTTTCTGTCAAACTTTAAAAAGGCAAGAAGTTGGCAGCTAAAGATGCGTGCCATTTCCACTTTCCTCCTCCTCAGATTACTAGACACTTGTTTATATGCCAGTCTTCCACGGGAGAGCCGGAGTGCATGGAGTATATATTTGAGAATTAGAGAATACCAATTGTCTAATTCCAAATACAAACTCTTCCAAACAAAATAATTACACTTGTTGAGATTATAGGCCTATCTATGGAGTCATTTTTAAAAATTATAGTAATTTATCTTAGCAATAGTTTTATTTAATCCGATAATATGGTAGTGTCTGTTATTACATAGAGAATACATCCATTTTCTTTTTTTATAACATTATTTATATAGAAATCAAAATGTCATATAGGTGCCTAAGACAGGGACACTTAGTCATATTTCTTTTATTGCTCAATTTTACTGACAAAGCTAGAGAAAAGTGGTAGAAATGAGCAAGCTTTATTTTAGCTAAGTCAAGAAAATAATGCACAGAAATTCTTCAGTTATTAAGGACAATTCCTCAAAATGTTAATTTTAGAAGTTTACAACATATAATATATAATAGAAGTTTAACTTATAAATTGTATAATATATAAATAAAATATTTTAACAAAATGTTGAAATTATTAACCCAGATCATGAGAATCACTTTTTCTTCTAAAAACAGAAATCTAATGATGCAAAAGTAAAATATTTATCACAATTTTGACAAAGATAATTTTAATAGGTTCATTCCAGTTTAGTATGATCTAAAAAAATCTTCAAAATATGTTGTAACAGTCCTTCTAGAAGGAAAAAAGAAGCTAAAGTTACTGACTATGAAATTACATATATGAGCATATTTTTAAAATGGGAATAAAACTGTCTTTCAATGAAGCAGAATAATTTGATAGTGACACTCCATCCTAGAAAACTGCAAGATGCAATTTTACACTGCTTTGAGTACAAGTATCTTTTGAGCTGTCATGCAGAAATGGTTTCTCTACTTGAAAATGGGGTTTTCCTTTCATCATTCAGGAATGTGTGTCTGTCACTCTCCATTGCCATCGATATGGGGAGCCGTGATTGTACTAGGAGCTGGAGACACTGCCTTTGACTGTGCCACATCCGCTCTACGCTGTGGAGCCCGCCGCGTGTTCATCGTCTTCAGAAAAGGCTTTGTTAATATAAGAGCAGTCCCCGAGGAGGTAAAATGGAACTTTCCAAAAATATGGACTTGTAATCCAGCAGATTTTACTAGATGATGCCATTAATATGCATTCATATTTAAAAAATTACACTGTTCTTGAAATTGTCAAATGCAATTTTTTTAAATCTCAGAACTATAACTAATTTCTTTTTAAATTCAAGCATTCTGTGTAAAAAAAAAATTGTAATGATTTGGACAAAATGAGATATTTACTTTGGTCAAAGTGCTTTTTTTGTTTAGGATTAACATTTATTACCTGGCAATGATTGAATATGCTGTCTTCCTATCCTGAATAATAGGAGTTTTTCAAAAAACATATGGAAATTAAAAGAATGTCATAAAGGTGTTTTAAGACTTTTCCATAAGTCATATTTATAAGAATCATTGAATATATATAGGTAATATATTATTACACATGGTACAATAATGTATACGTTAGAATGTAATGTGTAGCTGTATATCATATATATATATATATATATATATATATATATATAATACTGGGTCAATCTGTACATACTTTAATCATATAGTAAATTCATTCTGCTGTGGAGCAAATATAATGTGATTACTATATGTTTTTTAAAGTGTTCTAGTGTGAGCATTATTCAGTTTCAATAACTAGTTAAGTTACTGAAAATGATTTAAAATCACTTCATTCTGACTGGTGACTAGTACTGGGTGAGGTATTAGCTGGCTACATGTTTCATGGGCCTCTCAAATTTTAATACTATTAGACAAAGGTAGTGCTTTATAAAGGACATTACTTCTGAGAACCAAAACAAAATGTATTTATAAAAAGATAAATTACTTATTTTATTCAAATCAGTATTATGAATTTGATTTGGTTTAGAATGCCTGAACTTGTTTGGAGTCTCTGTACCAGGCAAGAATTACAACTATAGTCAATAAGTAATTTTGCAACATGTAGATTAATCACATTACAAATTAATCTCACTAAATTATCAGCCATCACTGGTTCATGGCTGAGTTTCAAATATCATTTTTATTCTCTGGGTTCTCTGTCTAATCTGACTTTTTAGTCGTTACAAAATAAACCTCCAAGATGGTTTTACAATCTTTAGATTTTTTTCTAGCATGTATTTTTAAGCTTTAATTAGTACAGTCATGCCATTTTACAAATAAAAAGAGCCATATTTGAATTAAGTGACTTGTTGAAATTGAAAGAGGTACAGAATAATTGTACCCATCTTTATATCTCTGTGCAAAGGATTAGACCTGGAAAAGAGCAAGTAGCTGTAAAACATATTTTGAAGTAAATATTTTAAATCTGGTTCATCTGAGTCCTATGTCAGAATAGTTATCATTACAAAAGACTGATCCTTGAGAGTTGGAAGTGGAAGATGACCTTGAATGGCAGTATCGATTTATTTCATACTTTATACCATGGATATCTAATATTAGCAAGGGGACTAGAAATGAATTGTAGCTGTTTTTTCTGCCTTATAATGAAAACAAAAACTGTAACATTTAATTACTTAAGAAAGAGATAGTTACTTATATTTTATTCACCCTATATTGATTGGCTACTTGGTATATAGTAGGCATTATATGACATAATTTTATTATTATTTGATAAAATTTCATGATCTCATGGACTTTCTGTTTAGGAAGACATGCAAATGAATTCTCACACTGACAGTACATTGAAAGTTACTTAGTTCTCTTATTTATATTAATTTGGGAGTATAAAGTGTGTGTATGCATATGCATGCGTGTGTGTGTGTGTGTGTGTGTGTGTGTACTAGGGTGGAAAAATGTGACAAAAATGGTAGGCATTCAGAAAAGAAAACCACATTGTAGCCTAGCTAAATGTATGCACCCTTATTGTGGAATTCTCCTGAACTTACGGGAATAAAAGGAGAAAGTTATGGTACAACACTAGGAGAGAGAGGAGTATGATGCAGATTGTGTGAAGTCTTGCAGGCATTTATAACACTTTTAGTTCTCTTCTATTCTCAGTAAAGAAGAAAAGCATTAGAGTTTTTTGAGCCAGAATTCACCAAGATCTAAGTTAAAATTTAAGATCATTACTCTCTTGTGTTTTGACTATAAAAGATAGAGTAGTGTCAGAAGCAAAGAGGCTAGTCAGAAATGGATTTAAAAGCTGGCCAAGGTTTCAGGAAGGAAGGATCGGAATCCTGGCAGAGCTCTGTAAAATTGGAGAGCTCAGTGAGCTGAATAGAAGCTACTAAAGTTCTGGGAGACAACACGAGTCAGGATAACAGAATGCCTGCATACAGCAGAGCTTTTGTGGAACTGAAGTTGATCTGTGACAATTAAAACCAAAAGGACAAGTGCTTGCATGTTCTTTAACTACTAGCTTACAAGAAATGAACTTTTTATGTTTGATTTTGACATCTGTGATGTCAAGGGCTATGATCATCTGTCTGCATCACTTTTGTCTTTGTTTTTGTTTATCAGAGTGAGTGCCATATATAAAGCTCAATAAATAATTGTGGAATTAATATTTTCAGTGAAGAATAAGCATCTAGATTTTCTAGTATTCACTTTAAAGCTTAGATAAATGGTACAGCAGTAGACACTTGAGGGTTTACTTGCTAATTTTAGATAAAAGAGAAGGACTATTAAGTAATTAATGCCTTTTCAGAGTGTACAAAGATTTCAACACTGTCATTGCCTAATGAGTTTTGTTGTTGTTTGTTTGTTTGTTTGTTTGTCTGTTTTTTAAGAGTGCAGATTTCCAGTGTTTGTGGAGGTTGCACTGGTTAATCTGTTACGAATATGATTTAGCTTTGTAATCCTCAAAGGAGGGTCCAGTTTATTTTAGTGATTAATACTCACATAAATGATAAGTCAGAAGTATAGAGGTCTAGAATTATGTATCCACTTCAACATACACCTTTTGAGGGGTTACTTTCTGTGACGCTTTGTTTGAGAGTACTAGTGATCAGACCTAGGGCCCTGTGCTAACTAGACAAAAACTTTTCAACAGAGCCATATTCCCAGGCCTTTTTTAAATTTCATTTTGAGGCAGGACCTTGCTGTGTTTCTCAGGCCGATCTTGTGATCCTTCTGTATTAAACTCCAAGTACATATGATTATATATGATTATAGGTGTATGCCAATAGTCTCATGTATTCTTGGGCATATTTTAACCAAAATGAACAATTTAATACAGTACCCAATTCCTTTGTATTTCTCTAGCATGTCCTATTCTTTGTCCTCCAAACACATATATACTTCAACCACAATTGGCTTTTCTAAAGTCAATGATATTAAAGAATAGGGACATTTAGAGTTTTTTCTCAAATGTGTATATAGTCCAACTGTCTTGGATTTGGGTGAATTTGAAAATAACATAACACTAAAATAAAATAACATGATTTGCCTAATGTTAAATTACCTCACCATTCCATGAGTCTCTCTACATATTATTCATATAATATATTATAATACTGTCAAGTTCTTAGAGAGAGGGAAATATAGAACAATAAAAAGTTTCTTAAGCTTTAGTAACAAGTAAGACTTACGGCAGAGACCAAGCACATTGAGCATGGAATAGTTTGAACCTAAGATATGTTGCCCAGTTAGGAATCAAGAACAATGTGACGGGGTCCAGTAATGTTTTAATCCATAAAAGGAGGTACAAGGCAACAGACCCTGAAGTAGCAAACACTCCTTTTCTCTAGTTCAGAGGTTTTCAAATTTCAGTGTGCATTAAAATCACCTGGAAAGCTTGGTAAGCAGATTGCTGGCTGTATCTTCACAGTTTCTGGTTCAGTAGGTCTGGGTGGGCCTGAGAATTTGCATTTTAACAAGTTCTCTGATGGTGCTGAGGCTGCTTGTCCACTGCTCTAATGTATCATCAGTGTAGCTTCAAACTATCTAATTAGAGCCATCAGCAGTATGCTGTTTTGAAGCATTTTTCATCTTAGTTAAGAAAGCATTAATGCTAAAAGATACATGTTTGATGAAATGAAGATAGGGAGGCATCATCAGCATCTTGATGTAATTCTGATTCCAAATGTCTTCCTGGCTCCCTTGTGGCCTCACACATATGCTAAATAGGATGCTACTGACAAACTGGTGCTTCTCAGCCATGGGTCCTCAGGGAAACCAGCCAATCATTCAGCACTATCCTCTAAGAAGATGAGGGAAAATCTGTTAATAATTCCCTTCAGTACTTTCTGCAAGCTTAAATAGGTGAGATTAAATTTCACAGGAGAACAGAATCCCCCAAAATGCTAGTATTAAAAGCTGTTGACAGATCAGATAAAACTGCAAGCATGCTTTAGGCGATTGGGAATCCCTAAAAGCAGGCCGGAAGGTCAACATTCAACAGACCCACCTGAGTTGATAAATTTAAAGGACAAGGATAGAGGAAAGCTTTGTTGTGCTCATTAATTATTACTAAGAAGAGGATAGTATAACACTAGTTTTAATAGCAAAGCCTTTGTACAAAGAATATTTCTCTATGGTACACATATTCAGTTTATGTATAATAGAAAAACATGATAGATTTTTTATTTTGCTGCATGTTAATGGGGTCTCTATATGACTTTTTAGAGTTCTTAGGGAGCTCTTTATTTATTTGACAGGACGTTAACTGATTTAACTCAGATATACTTGTTTACATATATTTTAGCTATCTAGAAGATCAACTGTCTTTATAATCAGTGCAACTTCATCATTTTAATTGTATAAATAAACATATTGTTTTATCTGTTAATAAACATATATTTTCTTTATCTGTTATTGTAACTCTGAAATAATATATTTCCCTGTTAAAAAAAAAAAAATGTGCTGTTTCCTTGAATCATTCTGGCACCACAAAGCTTACCCCCTAATAGATCATTGTGTGGAATTACCTCTAGGTCTTCTTTAGCAGTTGAGTAACTATATTCAAGGTACATTCATAGGTAGATGCATCCTTTCTATCTTTCTAGTTAACCATGCATTTTTTGACAAGTAACTGATGCTCCCGTAATTTCCTCGATTATGAGACACATGAGT